ATGTTTGGCCAGTGGTTAATTAAATTAAAAAATTAATTAATTGGATTTGAATTTTTATCTGATTTCATAATTGTGACAAGCACCATCCAGGACTGTTCTATTAAGGTTTATATAATTGCTATTTGATCCGTGAGTGAATATGATATGCATGGGTAGGTATAGCTGACATGACAGTCTCAAAAAAACATTCAAAAAGTAATCATCATTGGAAAGAAACCTCGCTGAAAATTCATCTCCAAACCCAGAATTATACAATACATCACAGACTGGTTATTCAATTTAATTTGGGAAGTATAAATTAACAAAAACAGAACTATATATTTCTCCTATATATCTCTCTGTGTCTGACATGGAGAATGTTCACTGGCGAGGGTGGTGGTGAACACTCCTTTGGCGGTGGTGTGGAGGCGGAGGTGGTGGATACTTCTTGGCGGTGGTGGTGGAGGCGGAGGTGGTGGAGGTGGAGGTGGAGGTGGTGGAGGTGGAGGTGGTGGAGGCGGAGGAGGTGGAGGTGGAGGTGGAGGTGGGGGGGAGGGTGGAGGTGGAGGTGGTGGAGGTGGTGGGTGGTGGAGGACTTCTGGATGAGCAACCAAAGGGCCACAATTGACAGGATAGGCATAAAATGACTTACATTCTTCAGGTGATCGTTGAAGTGGCCTGTCAGGAATGCAATTCTTCGTGGTCATCTTTAGGCAATTTGAGACACGTTGACTCACCGCAGAAGTAATTATCAGAGAATGTGAAATTCTCCAAGTTTGGCAGTGAGCAAAACTCTCAGGAATTTGACCAGAAAATTTATTATGAGCCACATTCAGCTGCTTCAATTCTTCATTTCCCCATGGACTCTGGTAAAAAGCCAACCAACCCGTTGAAACTACATCAAACACTGTCACTTCCTTAACAACCCGACATCTTCCGGCAACAACCAGTCAACCCATGTTAATGAACAAAATCTCTTGAGAGGTCTGCGCCATTTTCGGCAGACTGGAGGTATGCAGCCGTCCCACTGAAGTCATTATTTGCTAAGACGATAACAGAAACAGTAGAATTACACATGTTTTCCGGTATGGATGTTCGGAACTTGTTGCTGTTGATAAACAAGGCATCAAGTTTTAAATCAAAGAGTTTTGAGGGGACATCACCTTGGAATTCATTGAATCGGATATCAAGAAACCTGAGTGAAGGTAAACAAAGAGAACCGAAGGAAACTGACCGGCGAATTGGTATTGCTAATATCAAGCTCATAAAGAAGCTTCATATTACGGAACGAATCAGGAACTGAACCACAAAAGCGATTAGAGTTATGGAAGAGAGAGAGTCCGTAAGGAGGCCAAGCTCTTTAGGCAAATATCCTGAAATGTTTGCATGGTTCAGGTCTATTCCGGCAACCGTAAAAGTGCCCGGATCATCCGGGGCAGGCGCACAATAAACACCGGTATGATTGCAGACCTCAGGGCCGCACCAGTTGCCGGTGAAATTTAGAGGGTAGAGAAATGGCATGTTTCCAAGCTGGAGGGCTTTGTAAGCGTTGGAGAGTCTGGAATTTTGTACGGTGGAGGAGAATTGGAAGCTTGGGAAGAAGGTAGAGAGACAAGAAGAATAGATGGTGGATGATATTGATGGCCCAAGGGCGAAATTCTGACAAGGAGATGCCATAGATGAAGTTCAAATGGGGCGTAATTTGTTGATGAGGAGATATCAATCAAGGATTTATATGGAAGACGGCTACACAACTCATTGAATAAATAGGTAAACGTTGCGATCAGTGATTTTAAACGTAAAGAATTGCATGGTCTACTATTTCATGGTTCAAAACTTGACTTTACTATAAATATCAGATAATTATTAAAGAAAGGAGGCAATATTAGCGGATTACAGACGGGATATAACTTTGAATTTGACTTCGTTAATCAAGAATGTTACTTCCTTTTGTCCTTGCCCGTTAGTTTTATCGGTTTTTCATTTCAGTTTGGTTGATAGTGGAAGGAAACCGGTGTGTTGCTCAACAAAAACGCGGAGTTTTATTAGCTGTATTGGCATGCTGTATGTACAGTACAATTATGGCCTAAACGAGGAAAAAAAAGAGTTAGACAACATATAATTATCTGTAAAAACTATGTCTATGAATTTATTTATTTTCTCTTCAATCCACTAGTGTTATTTAAAGCAATGTGACATATTTTAATATAGAGTATGGGGGGTAATATAATATATGATATATTACTGAGACTTTCTTAGTGGGGCGTAATAGAGTAGACTTATTTAACCGATTTATGGAAAAATATTGGGTTATAGACTTAGAAAAAGACTAAAAGATCGTGACATTGATGTAGCAAAACTATGGAATAATATTAAATTTTATGACAAAGCCCTTCCAAACACCGGGTTCAATTCAACATTAGTCTTCGGTTTTTGCTACCCGAGAACCGGGCCATTCCGCCCTAGTTTCATTTTGAATTAATTGCATATAATTTACAAAAAAATATAAAATTAATAATTTACTCTGATATTATATAAAATAAAGCCTAGTTGAATAAGCTTTTGGGTTTATTGTAAGGTCCAACTCCGATTTGGGGGCATGGGCCCAATCAATTATGGTTTGGGCTTCTGGTATCTCCGATCTACATTAATTAATAAATTTTATATTATAATGTTAAACCCTAGAGTTTGAAATAACAAAAATCCTCATGGTGTTAGTGAAACCATTAATAAGTCTTAGAACTTACACTATTGTGAGTTATTGAGTATTTATTGAAGTGTTCTCCATATTTATTTAGAGTTAACAAATTTTTCCACCCAAATAATGGTTTGAGACACTTTTCCACCCACAGACTTTTAAAATATCATTTTAAACTCAAATTATATTCTGACAGCAAATAGAGATCAAGCTCAGTCCAGACTATTAGAGTTTTTGAAGAGGAGAGGTCGAGAGCCTTTTGGTGAGGAAGGTTTGTTTTGGTGGTTGGAATTGATCGAAATTTGACTTGGAAGGGGCAGTGCACAAACTTTCATTGCTCGATTTTCGATGATTGCCAGGGTCGGCGAAAGTAGGGTTTGAAGGGTTTTGGTGAATAATGATTGAATAAGAGAATGTGGTGGTGCGTCGCAACAATGCTGAAAACGAAAACAAATATAAATTTAGATAAAAAGTATATTTTAAAACTCTATGGGTGTGAAAGTGTCATTAACAATATTTGGGTGGGAAAAGTCATTTACTCTTTATTTGCACCTAAAACCTAATAGCAGTAAATATTTGTTATGAATCAAAGCTTAGGGTCAATCTAACTCTACATATAATACTTTTTTTTTTTTTCATATTCAAATAGTAAATACTACGGATATAATTAGTATTATTCATAAATATTCACATCACAAAATTAATTCAATGGACGCTATAAGTAAATTGAGGTATGTATAAATACTAGATTGCATTAGTAGAAATTCTACAGGACCAAGGTTGAACGGTTGCATGTATATAAAAAAATCGCAGTATGCCATGATATTGATGTTTATACTTTATACTTTATTCGTAAAACAATTGCATTAAAGTTGATATATTCAAAAAAATTAAAAAACACTATAAATTCATATATTGGTCAAACCATTAATGTACCACAACTTTTTAGCGTAATTTTGTAATCAATAATTGATTTAATGTAAAATATTAGTTTAATAGTTGACCAGTTTGTATTAAGAAGAATCTTGTATGAAATTATTGATTTTTTTTTTATTTTTTTTATTTTATCACCAGGTGTGTTCATGCAGTTTACGCATATCTCAACTAATTCTTTGAGAGTCTGAAACTTAGAATTATCAATCAGGTAAGAACTTCAGTGGCTACTAGGGGTGTTCAAAAGAACCGATTAGAACTGGAACCGGCGGGTACTTGGGGTTTGGTTCCGGTTCCTACCCGGAATCGGCCGTCAACTGGTAGGTTCCGGTTCCAAATTTTTGGAACTGTTACTATGCAGTTCTGGTTCCTATAGTTAGGAACAGAAACTAGAACTAGGAATTGAGACTAATATAAAATAAAATTAAAGAGTAGGAGGGTTAATAAAAACTTTTGTAGAAAAAGCAATGTGAATACATTTATATTTATATTTCATAACATTTAAAGTAAGTTGGTTTGACTTTTGAGAATCTACCTTTGCAAAATAACGGAGTTTGTAATTTTGAATTTATAATTTTGTTTTTGTTAACAAGTGCCAGGTGGGGGGTATTTGTAAGTTTTTAAGGGTTTTTTTTACCATTTTAAAAACTTTTGAGGTCATGGTAATTTTACAGGGTACCCAGAACCGAAACCGGAACCGTTGTTACAGGTTCTGGTTCTAGGTACCTAGGAATCAGAACCGTCGATTTCGGTTCTGGTTCCAATTCCTTCAAAAAATGTAGGGTACCCGAAACTGAACACCCCTAGTGGCTACCTATATTAACAATCGAGAATGGATTCGATCTCAGAATCTCTTGAGTAGTAATACACCCAAAAGTTCCTATCGAACTTACTCTTATTAGTAACCGAGGAGGGACTCAAACTCAGGATCTCTTGAATAGTATATATCCAAGAGTCTCTATCGAATTAAAATTATTGATTCCCTAAACCAATAAAATTAAGTTTTGCATTTCAGTATTTGAAACATTCATTTACTTTATTAGTATTAGTCTTTTCTCAACATCATGCAGAGACTTCACAATTTGTAGCACTTGTTCTCTCTCATGATTTCACACACAACCAACTGAAGAAATTTTCAATTAACTAAAAAGCTGAAAAGTGGTCCTTCTGAGATTTGCAACGTGATGCTTTTGAGACTTTTTCATAGAGAATAAGAAATTTCCCCTTCACTATCGTACTCGGATTATGTTTTCTTCCTATCTCTTTCTCTCATTAATTTCCAAATGATACTCTTCCATATTCTATTATATGTTTGCTGTCTTCACCACGTTTATGGAAGAAAAAAGAAAACAGATTGACGTTTATTTGTAGCACAATTCAACTGAAATGAATTCACAACCGCACAATTACAAGTAATTAATGGCATATCACAATCACAGACCACTGACAATAATCATTCATGGGTTAACAGTGCTTTATTAATTAAAACATTGTGGCATGCATCATATTTTTCTGTTCTTTCAACTATGCATATAGTTTATGAGAACAGGTTGGATCTTGGATAGCTAATCTTCAAAAAAAAAAAAAAAAAAAGGAAAAAAGCTAAAATCAAATCAATATCCCCTCCCTATATTCTGTTTCAAACTAGTAAATTAATATATCAGCATCATTAAAGAAAGAATTATTGTTCTGTGGCGGCCACCCTCTTATCCTTATGTTGATCATGGATGACGTGGATGATGCTTTGGTGACTTTGTTGGCCGTGGTGGTGGAGGTGGAGGTGGTGATGGAAGAGGAGGAGGAGGTGGACTTGCTGAGCAACCAGTTGCAGCACAATCAATAGGAAAGGAATAGAATGACTTACATTCCTCAATTGTTCGCTGGTTTGGCCTATCAATAATGCAATTCTTCTGGTCATCTTTATCCTGTAACTTGAAGCATGCTGGTGAGGCGCCATAGAAGTAATTATAAGAGTATGTGAAATTTTCCAACTGGGGCAATAAGCAAATGCTCTCTGGAATATAACCAGATAGCTTATTATGAGCTACATTTAGCTGCTTCAATTTCTTCATTTCTCCTATGGATTCTGGTAGCGACCCAACCAAGTTGTTAAAGCTGACATCAAAGACTGTCACTTCTTTGAACGCCCCCAAATCTTGTTGCAAACAACCCGTCAAACTCATATTTATGAGAATGATTTCATGAAGGGTCCCTGCCATTTTTGTCAAACTCGACGGTATGCAACCGTTTAAGTTATTGTTTGCCAAGACAAGCACTGATACATTAGAGTTCCCAAGATTCTGTGGTAAAGATGATTGAAAGTTGTTATTGTTGATGAACAATGCATCAAGTGTTAAATCAAAAATGGCTGAGGGGATAACACCACTGAATTGATTATACCTGATGTCGAGAAACTTGAGTGAAGGTAAAGAAAGAACAACAGAAGGAAACTGACCACTGAAGTTATTGTTGCTAATATCAAGCTCGTAAAGAAGTTTCAACTTTTTGAAGGTTTCAGGTACACTACCGCAAAAACGATTTGAGTTTATGTGGAAGACAGCAAGGTCTGTGAGGAGGCCTAGCTCGTCTGGCAAGTAACCGGATATGTTCCCGTGGTTTAAGTCTATTCCGGCGACTGTTACGGTGAGATTGTCATCTGGGGCTGGTGCACAGTAAACGCCGGTGTAATTGCACACATGAGGACCAAACCAGTCTGTGGTGAAGCTGTTGGGGTCAGAAGTGATGGCATGTTTCCAAGCTTTGAGGGCAAAGAAAGCCAAATAGAGTCTAGGATTTGGTGTGGGAAGAGTAGTAGGGGCTACAGCCTGCTGAGATGATTTAGAGAAGAGGAAAATGATAGTGAGAAAGCCCCAAAGGGCTAGACTGAGACAAGGGTTCTTCATTCTGAAGAAAGTTATGCCATCACTGATGTTTAAAATGTGACTAAAATGGTTGATTAAGGAGATAATCATCAAGATATATATATAGAATTGACACAACTCTTAACAAGATTGGAGGGTGTAAATAACCAGTAATTTAAAAAGCATAAAGTATTTAAAACCTTGACTATAACATCATCATTATTTGTTTGTCAATATAAGTGGATTATAGTGAGGTTTTAACCTTCATTTTGACTTCTTTAATAAGAACTTAAGTAGTATTATTACATGTCCTAAGTATATTTTTAGGTGGGTTTTCATTTTGTTGCGTAAATGAAAATGTACCGGCATGGTAGGCAGGGCAGAGATGGGTAAATATGATAGCAAGTTGTAATCAACAAAAAAAAATTAGGCTTTCAACTTCTTGGAAGGGGGACATATAGTTGGCTGTTGGAGGGAAACTGGTGTGTTATCTCAACAAAAACGCGGGGTAATGTACTTTTTTTTTTCTTTTTTTGGCTTTAATCCCTTGAGTTAACTATTAAATTATAAGATGAGACTGCAAAATGGGGCTATTTACCAAATGGGTGGCACTGGCAGGACAAGTTCTCAGATCAAGTCTAGTAACAAAGGCTACTGAAATGGTATACTTGATTGATTGATTTCTTGCAGTTCTGGAATTTCTATGGGACCAAGTTCCAGATGTGAAAGGTTTTATACATATAAAATGGAAACCTTGTATCAGAAGTAAATTTTTGTTAGCCATAATTTGATGTTTATCAGTTTGACAGTGAAATTGAATGTCACATTTCTTGTCAGTGTATCAAATTTAATCAGTTTGTTAAGCAATTGCCTTCTACGGAGCTTGGTCATTTTACAAGGAATTTGTAATCTAGTTCCTGGCTGGATGGATTTACACAAGGCTGCTTACCATATAAGATTATGAATGGGTATAAAATCTTGGTGGTTGGAAATCCCAGAAAAAACAATTAAAAAATTAAAATGCTAGTCACCACTCAAACAGTATCTTGAACATTAATCAATTATATGGACATTGACATAACATTCTGCCCACATTTACTGAGTAAATGTTGTTAAACATATCAAGAAACCATAAATTATGTTAGCAGAAATAGAGCAAGATAAGATCAATGAAGAGTTGAAAGGAGGGACTCAAAAGTCAAAACTACTGGTAATTTTCAATGTTGAAATCACATTTGTTATATCACCGCCATGGTGTGAAACAGGAATGAGACACTGGATTTTCTCCAGGTTGAAGAATTTTGATTATCACACGGTAGAGCAGGTGGGTTTAAAGAGTTGGCAAGACTTTTAGTTGTCTCGGTCCATTGAGGCTGCCACAACTAAAATTCATTTCCACGGATTTTTTTTTTCTTCCATTTTTCTTGTGGTGTGAATACAGATTTTAGTTTAATGCAACCTGCAGGCCACAACTTCAGATAGAGAGAGAGATTGTTTATTAAAAGTCAAATAACATAAAGTGTTGGTTGCATGCATGCCACACATGCTTGAAATAGAAAATATGGAAATTTTATGGAGCAAGAAAGCATATTAAATATGCAAAAAAAAAAAAAAAAAAAAGAGAAAGAGCAATCTGAAGTCAAGCACCACGAGTTTGGTTGATGAAATAAAAATTACCTAAAATAATAGAGACAGAAATCGTCAATGGTAAGTAAGATCCATTAAAAATTCCTAAGAAAGCTAGAGCCAAATCATGGTGTCATAAGTTACAACATCAAATCAGCAAGCAGATTTCTTGGAATTCTGTAAGAAAAAGCCAATGAATTCAAGCAATGAGAATGATCTGTCTGACGTCCCATGCAAGTTTGTTGATGGAACGTACAAAACATACATCATGAGGTCATAATGCATTTTTTTTTAATGACCGAGAGTGTTCGAACCAGCTTACCTCATCTCAATTAATCATTTTGAACCCTGAACAACACTAGCATACAAATTCCTGGCCACCCCTATTAGAATTATGGGAATTCGAACTCAAAAACCATGTATACTCTGCTCTTTTACCATCTGCTACACAAATTTAAAATTTTTGCGTAATGGTTTCTAGAATGAAGTGTCCCTGAAGTCAATATACCTAACTCGAGAATAAATCACCGTCTTCAGAACTGTTCAAAACCAGAAGCATAGACCACGCACACCAGCTGAAAAAGAAATATATTCTTTAGATTGCATCTAAAAAGACACTAAAATAAAAGGACATTTTAATTGATTGGTTAGAGATATTACTGTCTAACGCGTAGATTTGGTAGTTAACACAGAGTTTTGTTTAATTAAGTGCTAACCAGGTCTTGCTAATTGGAGTGGTTGGAAAGAAGAGAAGAAGATTTAATATTTTGTTACCACTTTGTGTTGAAGGGGTACTATCTCTTGTGATTTTTTTTTTTTTTTTTTTTTTTTTTTTTTTTATGGTGGTTTTAACTTTTTACCAAGTCAATTTAGAGCACAACCTTAATGCTTACTCTTTCTTCTAGAAAATGAGTAATCTAAATTTATAATTTAATGACAATAAGTCCACCAACCAAGTTTTAATGTCAAGCAATCTAAAGACCTTTTATAATAATATCTAAAAGTTTGGTTCAGGATTTCTTCACATACTCCCTTTGATTACCAATAATTCGAGGCGGCTTCAAGGTGATCCTTTAGTCACAACAAGGGATCCTTCAAAAAGCAGCAAACTCAACTAAAGTTTCATCATAGAATTTCAAACATAAACAAAAGTCTTCATTATTGTCATAATAAGATCAAAACAGAACAAATTCAAGTTGTATAGTTGTATTGAAACTCCTGTACTGTCATCAAACCATTTGAGTTTCACTCTAGAAATTCGACAGTTTGGAACTCCACAGGTAAAGCTGCATGCCCATCTCTTATGGACATTAAGTCACTGAAATCCCCATCCAAATAAGCTCTCATAAAAGCAACAATAATTCCTGCAGTAAACATTCTCATGGGTTCCCTGGACTTGCCATTCTTACAAAGACAATATGTAGCTTTCCCTCGGATTCCCTTGGTATCATCATCTAACATATCAAGATGACCATAGTCCTTAACCACAAAATGACAAGCCGGTTTTTGACATTCATTGAAAAAGTCTTCATGGTTAACTCCCTTAGGAGCACAAGGAGGGAATAGTGGATTTCTTTTTACTTCACCTAAGCCTGAACCAATCACCATCACCGCCATATCAAGATCAAAGGAATGAGGAACATATGTCAACACCGGTGGAGGAGTTTGTTTCCCTTTGTCCATTCCATCGACTGGGTCCACACCTATTAAGGCCAAAAATTTTAAAGTGGTGGACGCTTTCATAAGAGCAAGAGCAAAGGCAGTTTTGCCTCCACGACTATGACCAGCAAGGCCTAGCTTGCTTAGATTTGCCTTAACATTGGGTGGAAGCAGACCATGGAGTCCTTCTGATAACCAATTTGTTGTTGCAGCTGCAGATTTAATCTCACCAGTTGCATCTGCTCCGGCCACATCGTATAACTGTTGATTGCAAAGAACAAAATACACCATAAGCCAAATGGGATATAGCTTTACTTTTCAATATCTCCTCTTTTAGCACATTTCTCTAATTTGGCCTGGACTGCCATACATGATTATCAAATTTATGTATCATTGAAACAAGTAATTCGTTTTTCATGTTTAGTTTTTCCTTCTCATAAATATTTGACTACTTTAGCTAACAACAAACTAAAAACAGAACAATGCATTGTGTGCACTGATCATCAGTTTTCCTGATATCTGAATGCTAAACACCAAATAATTTCACTGATAGTACCACTCTTATTGCCTAAAATAACAAAGAGAATCATATGCACTGTGGATCTTCGTGAACAAAAATAATTAAATAGGTACTGAAGTATTTTGATAAGGAAATGGAACCTTTAGTTCATGCACACAGTAATAGTATCAGGGTGGGTCAGCCGTCGACACATTAACAAACTTGGTATCAACAATAAACAAGACAATTGAGATGGTGTACGAATTGAAATTATTTGCTTAGTTCAAATAGACTGTGTCTTCTTGATGTAAAAAGTTCAGCTCCCATGATTTTAAATAATGGATTGAATTTTATCTCTTCTAGCTACTTTGACACGCTCTTCTCCTTTCTGGGGCTAAATTTCTCACAGGCAAACAAAGACCAGAACCAACTAACCCTGTATTACAGTTTATTAATTTAATTAATTAAATATTAAAATATGAAACTTCCACTTTCCAACCCAATTTTTTTTTGGTGAATAGGCTTTCACACTATTAACTTAGAAGTGATCCCAAAAGTTCAAATTCATCCAGAAGAAGCTCTAAAAAATTATGAACTTCCCTCTACACAATGAACCACTTTAAATTAGAATATCAATAGCAATATGAGCATTTCTATAAGTAAAACTATAAGTACAAACTTTTTCAGAATCAGCAACGATAAATAGTCATGCAACAATAAGCAAAAGTATGGCAAAAAAAGTGACAGTTATGCAATCTAAATATGACATTAAAAAAGTTTACCTGAGGAGCAATGACAATGAAGCCATGAGAAGCAACATGTTGGATAAGCTGAGAGTAGAAGGAGTTGTACAGAAGATAGCCATGAAGAAATAAAAGAAGTGGGAAGTCTCCAGCATCAGTGGGCGTAGCAATCAAAAGCGGCTTTGGTGGTGGAACAGGTGTTGATGTACAATTTGTGTTGCAAGTTCCAGCAGGTTCAAATCTATGAAGAGTGGTTGCGTATTTTCCAATCTCAAAAACATTTGTTGAAGAAGACGACATGATTCTCTTAAGCTCTCCACCACTGAAGCCTGAACTGAGTTTCAGTTGCTGGTTTCTCTAAACACTGACTTGATGTCTCTACTAGTATAAGTTCCTTTTGTGGTGTTTACAGTCATAGCGTTGCTAAGAAGACAAGTGGCTTAGATTTATCGGATATGTTTACATTAACTTTACCAAAAACAAAATTAGTGTATTCATGTTTTTCCGTTTCTGGTTTATTTACTAAATCAATTCTATAAACTTTCTAAATTCTAATTTTTTTTTTCAAAACCTTTTATCTTTGCTTATTTCCATTAAATTATTAATAATTTTGTGTTAAATTATTTGATTCAGCATATTCAGTTCTTACTTATTATATTATTTGCAAAATCATGGCAATAAATGTTCTTTCCAATCTTGGTTTGGTTTATTTTTATGGTTTTCATAACTATTTCTAAATCATAAGTTTTTAGAAAATTAGAGAAGTTAAAACAGATTATGAAATTAGAGAAATTGAAAAGGATTAGGAAAAAGTTTTAATTTTGGAAACCCACCAATGGGTAGTCTAACGGTATGGGTGAAACCAAAGGGGTTGCAAAGGGATAGAACCCACAATCTCATGTTCGATTCTCTACTGGACGGAAATGTAGTATCTTTGCCCATGATCTACCTAAGGGGCTATATAGCGGGATAATTTCCCCTTAGGATTAGTCGGGATGTGCGTAAACTGGTCTGAATATCTTAATTATTAAAAAAAAAAAGTTAAAATTTGGAATAAATTAAAATTTAATTGATTTTAGGACTTATTGGGACTTAAGTAAGACCACGCTTTTTTTATTTTTGTTATGGGCCTGAAAAGATTTGTCTACATTCTAATTATAGGTTGACCATGGAAAAATGAAGAAATTCCATTTATGTACTTATCATATTTAACTGATGAATTAGGAAATGAATATTGGTTTTCTTAATAAGATACTTTTTTGTAATATTTATTTTACATTTTAATTTGTTTTCTTTTCGTTTTATTTATATTTTAGGAAGATTATTATTATGTTTTATTTATTTACTCTAAGTCTACTTCATATATTTTGATGTTTGTCTCATTTACTTTGTCAAACTAAGCGTTATCATATTTTCTGTCCCACATCAAATAAAAAAAAAAATTTTAATTTAAGTTAAAAGTTATTGTTAAAATTTACATTAAGAAGTTTAATCGTAATATAATAAAAAAGGAAATATAAATTCAGTACTAATTAGTGAACAAACGAACCAAAAGAATGATAAGGTCTCAATCACCCTTGGGTGGACGAGTGGCTAAATAAGGATTCTTAGGGTATTATCCAAGAGGTTTTGAGTTTGATTTACTTCGGTTGTTAATAGGGGTGGCCACTGGAGATTTATTTGACCCTTAATTTTAAGATATTGAAAATTAGTTGAAGTGTATGTAAGTTAACTTGAACACCAAAGTCACAAAACAAAAGAAAATTATGTGAAATGATGAGGTCTTGTTGGTATCACGAAACTTCCATGCACCAACATATAAAACTAACACATCCCTAAACCCAAGATCAGAAATTTTGAGAAAGAAGAAAACACTGTTCTGAGTGTCCTTCCACTTCAATAAATATCAATAAACTTTATACTGTAATCTCATTCCAAATGAAGGAAATTAGGGGTCAGACCCTGACCCACTACTTTGGGTTGGGCTGGGCATGTAGGGACTGCATCCCATGATTCAATAAATATCAATCAACTTTATACTGTAATTTCATTATAGTCACCCTTTTTATAGATTAATGCAACCAATGAAAATTAAAAGAGTTTCTCTGATTTTGGACTGAGAAGACAAAATTCAAATGACTTTTTCTTCTTTCTTCTTTTAGAAGGGAGTCATAATTAGCCTGACGGAGTGATTCGATAGAGACTCTTAGATACGTACTCATATATAAAGATGTGAATTCAATTGAATCCATTCAACTTTTTAAAAAGAGCAAAAAAGTCCTTATGTTTTACAAAATTTACAATTTTGATCACACTTAAATTAATATTGAACTCGCCGAACTTTGAAAAAAAAAATCATAAAAAGCTTTATATTTTATAATATTTACAATTTTAACTTTACTTAAATTCATATTAACCCCACCAAATTTTCTTGTAAATTTACTAACTTAAATGTTTTGAACCCACTCACTAAATTTTCTGGCTACGTCCTTGGGGACTCTTGAATGTATTACTGAAAAAGTCATGAGTTCAAGTCCCTCCTTGGTTACTAATAAGGGTAACTATTAGAGTTCTTACTCGGTCGGTAATTTCGAAGACCCAAAGAATTAGTTGAGGTGTGTCATATTTGTAAACTGGTCTGAACACCTCTAATCATAAGAAAAAACAGAGTCTTTGATATTTTGCAGGGAACTTTGTTTTTTCTTAATCATTAAAAACATACATATATTGTAATGTTTATAAAAGTTAAGATTTGAGACCCCTCTGGTAGTAGTTTTGGGAGATTTCTGTAAAATAAAGGTGTTTACAAAAGAGAAAAATGGTGTCTTTTGATTTTAAAGGAAACGTTTAAGGGAGGTACACAAAATTTGTCTTTGTAAACTTTATGAATAATACTATACTTATGTTCTATAAAAAATCTTTTCTACAATGTGATGTGTGATGAATTAATATAAAAATCAATTTAATACATATAGATTAAATGATAATAAATTATATGACGTCATTTTGTATGATCCTATATAGTCGGGTGCCCCTCCACGTTCAAAACTTTTATACCCCACAACGAGTGGACGACGTGATTCTAATTTTTAATTCAATCAGTAACGGTAAGGCACTGACTCCATACTCTGCAATACTATAAACATATACAAAGGAGAAAGGCCACGTCACTCATCACTTCTTAATATTTAGAGTAATGCCACCTCACTTTGTAGCAAATTAAGATTTGTTTGTAAATATAGTATTATTATTATATTTAACACATTGTTTCTTTTTCCAGAGAACACCATTTCTGTGTAAATGGATAGAAGCAGTACTTGATGTGGCTATATTTAATAATTTTATGTTAAATTATTTGATTCAGCATATTCAGTTCTTGCATATTATATTATTTGCAAAATCATGGCAATAAGTGTTCTTTCCAATCTTTGTTTGGTTTATTTTTATGGGTTTTCATAACTATTTATAAATCATAAGTTTTTGGAAAATAAGAGAAGTTAAAACAGATTATGAAATTAGAGAAATTGAAAAGGATTACGAAAAAAGTTTAATTTTGAAACCCACCCATGGTTAGCCCAACAATAAGGACGAAACCAAAAGGGTTGCAAATAGGTAGAGCTCACAGTCTTATGTTCGATTCCCTACTGGACAGAAAAATAATATATTTGCCCATGATCTACTTGGGGGGTCATACAATGAGATAGTTCCCCCTTAGGATTAGTCAAAGTGTGCATAAGCTGATGGGATATCTTAATTATTTTAAAAAAAAAAAAAAAAAGTTAAAATTTGGCATAAATTAAAATTTAATTGATTTTAGGACTTATTGGGACTTAAGTAAGACCACGCTTTTTTTATTTTTGTTATGGGCCTGAAAAGATTTGTCTACATTCTAATTATAGGTTGACCATGGCTAAATGCACGGCCGTTTTGTTTGAAGAACATGTTTTGAAGTTTGTAGCCCAAACTTAGCACTACTTCTACCTCAAAAACAGAAGGCATTTACTAAGAGTAGAGGATAATGATTTAATGTTCACTATGGTCCAATATATTTCTATACATGAATACAAAATTAATATTAAATTTTATATTGTATTAATAAAAATAAATAAATAAAAGAAAATTAAGAAATTCCATTTATGTACTTATCATATTTAATTTATGAATTAGGAAATGAATATCGGTTTTCTTAATAAGATACTTTTTTTTAATAGTTATTTTACATTTTAATTTGTTTTCTTTTCGTTTTATTTATATTTTAGGAAGAATGTTTTTATGTTTTATTTATTTACTCTAACTCTACTTCATATATTTTGATGTTTGTCTTATTTACTTTGTCAAACTAAGCGTTATCCTATTTTCTATCCCACATCAAACCAAAAAAGAAAAAAAGAAAAAAATTTGATTTTTTATTTAAGTTAAAAGTTCTTGTTAAAATTTAAATTTGAAGTTTAATTGTAATGTAATAAAAAAGAAAATATAAATTCAGTATTGGTTAGTGAACAAACTGTGAAACTTACGTTCACCAACGTTACTTATCTAACGTTGATAATTGATTTTCATTAAATACAAGTCAGTTTTAAAGATTAATGATCCACATTTGTTGCTTCAGTTTTCCAAAAGTTTTTGTTTAGCCGTTGATTGGGATTTTTGGCAGCCATTAAGCAATGTCATTAAGAGCTTGATGGAAGTTTGACTATATATAATGTTTTGGTCCCTAAGCTCAAGTACTCAACTAAAACAAAATACACCATCAATATTAAAGTGTCTTGAGAGCTTAGAAGAGCCAAAATACAGCTTTGTGAGTTTGTTTTAATGACCGGAGGTAATCTTTGATTCTTGGTTTAAAGTCTAAGAACTTTGTATTTTTTGTTTAGATTGCAGATAAGTTGCTTACACAAACAAACCAAAGGAATAGTGAGGCCTCAATCACCCTTTGGTGGTTGAGTAAGGACTCTTGGGGTATTACCTAACAGGTATTGAGTTCGATTTACTTCGGTTGCTAATAGGAGTAACCACTGAGGTTTATCTAACCCTTAACTTTAAGATCTAAAAAATTAGTTGAAGTGCATGTAAGTTAGTCTGAACACTTTGATCACAAAAGAAATAAAAATGATGAGGTCTCGTTGGTACCACGAAACTTCCATGCACCCAAGGGTGGCCCACCATCAATTTTTTTTTTTAAATGTTAATATATATAATTTATATATTTTGACCCATCCTAATAAAAATATTAATGAACATAAGTATTAATATATAATTAATTTTCACTTTGGCTCATCCTAATACAAATTTATGAATCCGCCGCTGCATGCACCAACATATAAAACTAACACATCCAAGATCAGAAATTTTGAGAAAGAAGAAAACACTTTTCTGAGTGTCCTTCCACTTCAATAAATATCAATAAACTTTATACTGTAATCTCATTCCAAACGAAGGAAATTATTATTTAAGAATTTTTGAATATATTATTTAAGAGATCTTGAGTTTAAGTCTCTCTTTGATTACTAATAGGATAACTATTAGAGCTTTTATTCAGTCGATAATTTCAGGGCTTTGAGAGATCAATTAAGATGTGTGTAAACTGGTCTGGATACCCCGATCATAAAAAAAAGAGTCTTTGATATTTTTAGGGGATTTTTGTTTTCTCTTAATAATTAAAAATAATAATAATAAAAATACAAAACTTGTAATGTTTATAAAAATTAAGATTTGAGATCCCTTCATAATAGTTTTGGGAGATTTTTGTAAAAATATTGTTTACAAAAGAGAAAAAAAGTGTCTTTTGATTTTAAAGGAAACGTTAAGGGAGACACACAAAATTTGCCTTATAAATTTCATAAATAATACTACTCTTATAAAAACTTTATACTATAAAATTGATGTGTCCATTGGATGAATTAATAGTAAAATTAATTTAATAAATTCATATTAAATGATAATAAGTTATACGACGTCATTTTGTACGATCCTAACTAGCCGGGTGTTCCTCCACGTTCAAAACTTTTATACTCCACGACGATTACGAGTAGACGACGTGATTCTAATTCAATCGGTAACGGTAAGGTACTGTGACAGACTCGATACTCTGCAATACTGTAAGGTGTAACACAGGACACAGGAGAAAGGCCCCGTCACTTATCACTCCTTAATATTTGACACACTATTTCTTGTTCGAGTGAACAGTGAACACCATTTCTGTGAAAACTGATAGAAGCAGTACTTGATGTTGCTATGTACCAACGAAGAACCCAAAAACTATGTTAAAGGAAACCCGGGCTTAGGTCTTCTCATTTTTATTTCTCATCAAACACTCTCTTTTTATCTCAGCTTTCTTCAAAGGTGAGTCTTTTATACCTTCTTCCTTGTATCAATACCAAGTTTCCCCTTTTACAGAATGCGTATATCATACGGGCCTTTGTAAGTTTAATTGAGTGTTTCTTTGAAGAAAGTAAGTATCTGTTTTTAGAGTGAAATAGATCGTTTCTCATTTTGTTCTGGGGTTTAATGGAATGCTTTTGCTGCAATCTAGTTGATAACTTAGATTTTTTTTTTTTTTTTTTTTTTTTCTACTGAGTTTTGATTAATCATTAAAACAATGTGTTTCTGACATTGGGTTAATAATTGGTTGCGGCACTCTTGAATATTGGATTATTGTTATATTGATTGTATCAAGGGCATTTTGGGTTTGGTTGTGAAGTTTGTTTATTAAAGTTTCATTGCATGTGATATTTTTCTTGTATGCGTCACAGCCCTCAAAGGTTCTGATGTATAGCTTTGTGTTTGGTTGTATGTATATTTAGCATACTGATTGTTTGTGGTTAAAATTCACAGGTTGTTCATTTCACTTTCTGTTCATTGATGGGTACTGTTATTGACAAGTGGGATGATGAATGCTCTGTCATTGAGGATAAAGGAGAAATAGCGTTTATTGATTATGAAGATGATAGATCGGTGTGTAGTTACAATCCCGATGAAGAGGGTTCTTTTGTGATTTCTGTTCCATTCCCTTTTGTAGAGGGGAAACCTCAATCGGTGATCGTAGGGGAAACTGCTGTAGATTCAATCACCTTAAAAAACAACAGTGGTGAGCCTGTGGATCTATGGACTAAAATTTATGCCTCAAACCCTGAGGATACTTTCACATTTTCTTTGATGAAGCCTCCATCTGGAAAGTCAGAAGTAGATATCAGCCAAGGTTTTCTGGAATCTTTTAAGTTAGAAGACAGAATGGTTCAGCCTGATGAGACTTTAACTATCTGGTTGTCTTGCAAGCCAAATGGAATCGGCCTGCACACTACAATTGTGCATTTTGATATAGGGGGGGATAGGATAGAGCGAGTGATTTTTCTCTTGGCTGAAGACAAAATCTCGCAGTCTTTGGCTTCAAATAAACCATATTCAAGAGGTACAAGAAAAAAACATTTTGATGTGGATACATATGTTGTCGGTTCGCGTCCTGCAAGAGTGACTGGCCAAGTTTCTTTCCAGAATAGGCTTCCCAAATATGCCATTCCAAAGAATATGAGAGAACTCATTGAGAGCAAGCAGATCCCAGATGTTATTCAAGAAGGTCTAACAAGAGACAATTATTGTTCTTACTTCGAAACATTAGTGATCATGGAAGAAATACAACTGGAGGTATATATAAATAATTAAAACTATATATATATGTATATATATAAGAAACCATCGTCTAACTTTTGATGTATTTGACAATTTTTTTACTGCAGGTAGAAATGAGGTCTCATCACATGGAGAATGTTGCTATGAGGAAGAGAGGACAATTTTTGACTCTTGAGGTCCCAGGGCTCGCTGAGAGAAGGCCATCACTTGTTCATGGAGATTTTATTTTTGTCAAGCTTGCTAATGACAATGGAGGAGATAAGACTTCTCCTTATCAGGTCTGTCTCTGATTATGGAAAACATTTATTTCGCTAATTCTTAAAGTATTTCAACCCTAGAATTTACCTAGTGAAAAGAAAAAAAAAAAATTTACATCACCAAAGATGTGTTTGGTAGGCACATTGCCTAAACTTGAGTAGTTCCATTGACCATCCAAGTTATCGACATAAAAAATAAAGATGCAGTCTGTTTGTAGCTATGTAATGTACTGTATTTTCCCCTCATACCTGCATGCTCTTATGTGTTATATGGGTTCATGGTTTATAATACTCCAACCTTGTCCACTAATGTGATGTTGCACAGGGTTTCATCCACCGCGTTGAGGCCGATGAGGTGTATTTGAAGTTTGCCCAAGATTTTCACTTGCTCCATAGAGATGTGAATCTTTACAATGTACAGTTCACTTACAATCGAGTCAACATGAGAAGGTTATATCAAGCCATTGATGCTGCACAAGGGTTAGACATGGAGTTCCTTTTTCCATCTGAGTCCTCTGAAAAAAGACTTATTGAATTAACTCCACTGGTACCTATTTCCTGTAATCTTAACGAGGAGCAAATGTGTTCAATCGAGAAGATCCTTGGCTGCAAAGGAGCTCCTCCTTATCTGATTCATGGACCTCCTGGTACAGGTAAGACTATGACACTTGTGGAAGCAATTCTCCAGCTCTACAGAACTCGAGAGAATTCTCGGATTCTTGTCTGTGCGTCTTCAAATAGTGCTGCGGATCACATACTAGAGAAACTCCTCAGTGAGAAGACTGTTGAAGTTCAAGAGAATGAGGTATTCCGGCTCAATGCAACTTCTCGCTCATATGAGGATGTCAAGCCTCATCATATCCGCTTTTGCTTCTTTAATGAGTGTGTCTTTAAGTGTCCTCCAGTCAATGCCCTCACTCGCTACAGGATCATCATATCAACTTATATGAGTGCTTCTCTTCTTTATGCTGAAGGTATTAACTCTGGCCACTTCTCTCATATTTTCTTGGATGAGGCTGGCCAAGCTTCAGAGCCAGAAAGCATGATACCTATGTCTATCCTCTGCAAAAAGGAGACTGTTGTTGTTCTTGCTGGAGACCCTATGCAGTTAGGTCCAGTATTATATTCAAGAGATGCAGAGACTTATGGATTGGGGAAATCATACTTGGAAAGGCTGTTTGAATCTGCATTTTATTATACAGGAGATGAAAATTATGTAACAAAGTTGGTTAGAAACTACCGATGTCATCCCGAAATTTTGTATCTTCCTTCAAAGCTGTTCTATGAAGAGGAATTGATTGCATGTAAAGACGACACAAGTTCCTTTGCAATGTCGGTGAACTTTCTTCCTAACAAGGAATTCCCTATTCTTTTCTATGGTATTCAAGGCTGTGATGAGAGAGAAGGCAGCAATCCATCGTGGTTCAATCGGATTGAAGTAAGCAAAGTTGTAGAGGTCATCAAGAGATTGACAGCAAGTGGGAATTTGAGTGAGGAAGATATAGGGGTCATAACACCATATAGACAGCAGGTACTCAAACTAAAGAAAACCCTAGAAAGTTTAGATATGCCTGATATCAAGGTTGGCAGTGTTGAACAGTTCCAAGGACAAGAAAGGCAAGTCATTATTATTTCTACTGTCCGATCAACAATCAAACACAATGACTTTGACAGAAGACACTGTTTAGGATTTCTGAGCAATCCAAGAAGGTTTAATGTGGCTGTTACCCGTGCAATATCTTTGCTTGTTGTGATCGGGAATCCACACATTGTTAGCAAGGTATTCCTTTTCGCTTACATGTAATCTTTCTATGTTAAGGAAATTGGAAAACTCTCCTGTGATTATATTATTCTCTCCAAAGACTGCATCTAAATTAGATAATTTTCTATTTGCATGTACGTGCACAACTATATGATCATTCCTTAGTTAAGTGTTGTCAAAGGGTTGCACGTGTAGTGTGTAGATTTCAACTTTTACCTTTTTAGGAACTTCTGCACTTTATTAAATGTCAAGATGGGAACATTCATTTCCTAGTTGCACCTAATGGTCAATGTACCTGTTCAAAAGACATAGGCAAACACCAAAAATTTGCATCAGTGAGATGTTAATACTTTTTATAATAGATTCAAGAGTCCACTTTTGATGTTTTGAGGCATCAAGGTTTTTGAACTGAGAGCTCAAAGGAAAAAAAAAAAAAAAAAAAAGTAAGAAGTATGAGAAAGGGAAAGAGGAGTTTGACAAAGGACATGGCGCCTCATATGGTGTTTACTGGATGTCTCACCATGAGTTTTCCATGTATTTGCAGTTGTTTTGGAAAAAAAAGGCTCAGTTGCAAGTTGTTTACTTTTTTATTCCCTCCACTTTTCAGTTTGGAATTTTGTTTTCATAAGTTCTGCATGTTCTAAGCCTTCATATTAATTTATTTATATACAAATTATATATGTGTGTAGTCAAATTTTGATAGTATCTGATTGAGCTTTATTCTTGTATGACATGATCATAACTGTGTTTGTCATTTCTATCAATTAATAGTAGCCTTGTGTTCGTCGTAAGTTTTGTCACCTGCCACCAGTTCTTGAGTCTTTCCAGCATTTCCTAATTCCTGCCTTTGAGTTTCAAAATGACTCTTGCACTTTATACTCCCAGTGCATTCACTAGTCATCCTTGTTTTGTAATAAGAAATCAAATTGTTAAAGGAACCCATGGAACACTGAGAAGAGAGCCGATGTCTCAAAACTTTTTGTACTGGAATCAGAGTCAGTTGAATTCTCATGCCTACATTTCCAAAGGTTTAGTTATTTACATCACTAATGCTGAAGTTTTTTCACGTTGGGCAGGATGAATACTGGAATAAGCTTTTATGGCGTTGTGCAGACAACAATTCTTACCAGGGTTGTGCACTTCCTGAGAGGCAGGGGTATCCAGATGAAGATCCGGCGGAAGGGGGTTTTTTAAACCGTCATGAAGAAGAACTTGTACAGAATTTTGAACAGGGTGACTGGATTGGAGAATCATCTCAGATAGAATTTGTTAAACCTGTCAAAGATGAAGATGAGTGGTCTGATGGGTGGCGGTAAATATATTTACCCAGCTCCGTGAACTAAAAGTGTCTTTTGTTTTGCAACTTGTTTTTCATCATCAGACGAAAGTTACTCCATATCAGAGAAATTTTTTGTTAATCTTTTTGGGACAGACAATAGAGTGTGTCAGAGAATTGAATTTTGTAAAGCTTTATGTCTGAGTTTGGAGTTACACGCCATTAGAAAGGTTTGNTGGGTGGCGGTAAATTTATTTACCCAGCTCTGTGAACTAAAAGTGTCTTTTGTTTTGAAACTTATTTTTCATCATCAGACGAAAGTTGCTCCATATCAGAGAAATTTTTTGTTAATCTTTTTGGGACAGACAATAGAGTGTGTCAGAGAATTGAATTTTGTAAAGCTTTATGTCTGAGTTTGGAGTTACACGCCATTAGAAAGGTTTGATCAAGCTTTAACGTGCAATATATAAGTTTCACTTATATTTGACTTGAACAATTTAGCGTGCAATGATGCGAGACAATTATAGACATAAAACCAAAACTTACTAGGTTTTGAATTTGAATATTGCTCCAATAAGGATAGAACGCTTTGCTTCTACCAACAAAGTTAAAACTGTTTGTGCCGTCTCACTTAAGATGGAGGTTGCTATCAGAACCACACATTTATGCCTAAAAAATAGGTGACTTATTTTCTTCATATACTTGGTGCAGGCAATTACATATTTGTTTAATCGTTGAAAGTGAGAACATCTAAATGAGTAGTATTCTGTATATGATGCCTGTAACACTATGTGTGAATGAAGACAAGAAGGGAAATCAGTAATCCCGGTAGAAACCAACTATTGCTTTTGAAAATCTTTGTAGTTGCTATAGAACCTCTGGATACTATTACGGATGAGTTTGGAGTTGTAGGTGAACTCGTCGTTGGAGCAGAGGTATTATCATGTCCTGCAAAATTGTGATGTTCAGTAACAGGCCATAGTTCCACTTGCTTTAAACAGTTTTAGTCATGGGTTAAATCTCCAACATGCATTATACAACTCAATCTTGCAATAATTTGATGATATGTAGGTTTAACCATATTATAAGACAAAATTGCATCCATCGCAATGACATAGCAATTACTTCATAACGATATATGATTTGCTATGGACCAACAAAGTAGTTCAAGTGGAATGTGCAATTGATACTTGCAAGAGCTGCAAGGATGTGTTATCTTTAGGGATCATCAATTTGTCAACAGGAATAACGATTTGTTTCTTTTGTGCATGTATTTTTAAATGATGATAATAAAAATTAAAGAAAATACTGAGTTCATTGTGGTTTCTTACCTGGATCAAAAGGTTTTGGGATCTCTGGTCCTGTTGCACCGTGGAAAGGAGGTAAAGGCAAATGTGGTAGCTGCCATTAGTATTAAGAATTTTGAATATTATTTAAGAGATCTGAGGTTAGTCTCTCTTTGATTACTAATAGGATAACTATTAGAGCTTTTATTCAGTCGATAATTTCAGGGCTTTGAGAGATCAATTAAGATGTGTGTAAACTGGTCTGGATACCCCGATCATAAAAAAAGAGTCTTTGATTTTTAGGGGATTTTTGTTTCTCTTAATAATTAAAAATATAATAATAAAAAACAAAACTGTAATGTTTATAAAAATTAAGATTTGAGATCCCTTCATAATAGTTTTGGGAGATTTTTGTAAAAATATTGTTTACAAAAGAAAAAAAGTGTCTTTTGTTTTAAAGGAAACGTTAAGGGAGACACACAAAATTTGCCTTATAAATTTCATAAATAATACTACTCTTATAAAAACTTTATACTATAAAATTGATGTGTCCATTGGATGATTAATAGTAAAATTAATTTAATAAATTCATATAAATGATAATAAGTTATACGACGTCATTTTGTACGATCCCAATTCCAACTAGCCGGGTGTTCCTCCACGTTCAAAAATTTTATACTCCACGACGATTACGAGTAGACGACGTGATTCTAATTCAATCGGTACGGTAGGTACTGGACAGACTCGATACTCTGCAATACTGTAAAGTGAACACAGGACACAGGAGAAAGGCCCCGTCACTTATCACTCCTTAATATTGACACACTATTTCTTGTTCGAGTGAACAGTGAACACCATTTCTGTGAAAACTGATAGAAGCAGTACTTGATGTTGCTATGTACCAACGAAGAACCCAAAAACTATGTTAAAGGAAACCCGGGTTAGGTCTTCTCATTTTATTTCCATCAAACACTCTCTTTTATCTAGCTTCTTCAAAGGTGAGTTTTTATACCTTCTTCCTCGTATCAATACCAAGTTTCCCTTTACAGAATGCGTATATCATACGGGCCTTTGTAAGTTTAATTGAGTGTGTTCTTTGAAGAAGTAAGTATCTGTTTTTAGAGTGAAATAGATCGTTTCTCATTATGTTCTGGGGTTTAATGGATGCTTTTGCTGCAATCGTTGATAACTTGATTTTTTTTTTTTTTTTTTTTTTTTCTCTACTGAGTTTTGATTAATCATTAAACAATGTGTTTCTGACATTGGGTTAATAATTGGTTGCGGCACTCTTGAATATTGGATTATTGTTATATTGATTGTATCAAGGGCATTTGGGTTTGGTTGTGAAGTTTGTTTATTAAAGTTTCATTGCATGTGAATTTTTCTTGATTTGTCACAGCTCTCAAAGGTTCTGATGTATAGCTTTGTGTTTGGTTGTATGTATTTAGCATTGATTGTTTGTGGTTAAATTCACAGGTACGTGTTCATTTCACTTTCTGTTCATTGATGGGTACTGTATTGACAAGTGGATGATGAATGCTCTGTCATTGAGGATAAAGGAGAAATAGGGTTTATTGATATGAAGATGATAGATCGGTGGTAGTTACAATCCCGGAAGAGGGTTCTTTTGTGATTTCTGTTCCATTCCCTTTTGTAGGGGGAAACCTCAATCGGTGATCGTAGGGGAAACGTGCAGATTCAATCACCTTAAAAAAACAACAGTGGTGAGCCTGTGGATCTATGGACTAAATTTATGCCTCAAACCCTGAGGATACTTTCACAATTTCTTGATGAAGCCTCCATCTGGAAAGTCAGAAGTAGATATCAGCCAAGGTTTCTGGAATCTTTTAAGTTAAGACAGAATGGTTCAGCCTGATGGACTTTAACTATCTGGTTGTCTTGCAAGCCAATGGAATCGGCCTGCACACTACAATTGTGCATTTTGATATAGGGGGGATAGATGAGCGATGTGATTTTTCCTTGGCTGAAGACAAAATCTCGCAGTCTTTGGCTTCAAATAAACCATATTCAAGAGTACAAGAAAAAAACATTTTGATGTGGATACATATGTTGTCGGTTCGCGTCCTGCAAGAGTGACTGGCCAAGTTTCTTTCCAGAATAGGCTTCCCAAATATGCCATTCCAAAGAATATGAGAGAACTCATTGAGAGAAGCAGATCCCAGATGTTATTCAAGAAGGTCTAACAAGAGACAATTACTGTTCTTACTTCGAAACTTAGTGATCATGGAAGAAAACAACTGGAGGTATATATAAATAATTAAAACTATATATATATGTATTATATAGAAACCATCGTCTAACTTTTGATGTATTGACAATTTTTTTACTGCAGGTAGAAATGAGGTCTCATCACATGGAGAATGTTGCTATGAGGAAGAGAGGACAATTTTGACTCTTGAGGTCCCAGGGCTCGTGAGAGAAGGCCATCACTTGTTCATGGAGATTTTATTTTTGTCAAGCTTGCTAATGACAATGGAGGGATAAGACATCTCCTTATCAGGTCTGTCTCTGATTATGGAAAACATTTATTTCGCTATTCTTAAAGTATTTCAACCCTAGAATTACCTAGTGAAAAGAAAAAAAAAAAATTTACATCACCAAAGATGTGTTTGGTAGGCACATTACCTAAACTTGAGTAGTTCCATTGACCATCCAAGTCATCGTCATAAAAATAAAGATGCAGTCTGTTTGTAGCTATGTAATGTACTGTACTTTCCCTCCTACCTGCATGCTCTTATGTGTTATATGGGTTCATGGTTATAATACTCCAACCGTCCACTAATGTGATGTTGCACAGGGTTTCATCACCGCGTTGAGGCTGATGAAGTGTATTTGAAGTTTTCCCAAGATTTCACTTGCTCCATAGAGATGTGATCTTTACAATGTACAGTTCACTTACAATCGAGTCAACATGAGAAGGTATATCAAGCCATGATGCTGCACAGGGTTAGACATGGAGTCCTTTTTCCATCTGAGTCCTCTGAAAAAAGACATTGAATTAACTCCACTGGTACCTATTTCCTGTAATCTTAACGAGGAGCAAATGTGTTCAATCGAGAAGATCCTTGCTGCAAAGGAGCTCCTCCTTATCTGATTCATGGACCTCCTGGTACAGGTAAGATAGTGACACTTGTGGAAGCAATTCTCCAGCTTAAGAAAATCGAGGAATTCTCGGATTCTGTCTGTGCGTCTTCAAATAGTGCTGCGGATCACATAACTAGAGAAACTCCTCAGTGAGAAGACTGTTGAAGTTCAAGAGAAGAGGTATTCCGGCTCAATGAACTTCGCTCATATGAGGATGTCAAGCCTCATCATATCCGCTTTGCTTCTTTAATGAGTGTGTCTTTAAGTGTCCTCCAGTCAATGCCCTCACTCGCTACAGGATCATCATATCAACTTATATGAGTGCTTCTCTCTTTATGCTGAAGGTATTAACTCTGGCCACTCTCTCATATTTTCTTGGATGAGGCTGGCCAAGCTTCAGAGCCAGAAAGCATGAACCTATGTCTATCCTCTGCAAAAAGGAGACGTTGTTGTTCTTGCTGGAGACCCTATGCGTTAGGTCCAGTAATATATTAAGAGATGCAGAGACTTATGGATTGGGGAAATCATACTTGGAAAGGCTGTTTGAATCTGCATTTTATTTAACAGGAGAGAAAATTATGTAACAAAGTGGTTAGAAACTACCGATGTCATCCCGAAATTTTGTATCTTCTTCAAAGCTGTTCTATGAAGAGGAATTGATTGCATGTAAAGACGACACAAGTTCCTTTGCAATGTCGGTGAACTTTCTTAACAAGGAATTCCCTATTCTTTTCTATGGTATTCAAGGCTGTGATGAGAGAGAAGGCAGCAATCCATCGTGGTTAATCGGATTGAAGTAAGCAAAGTTGTAGAGGTCATCGAGAGATTGACAGCAAGTGGGAATTTGAGTGAGGAAGATATAGGGGTCATAACACCATATAGACAGCAGGTACTCAAACTAAAGAAAACCTAGAAAGTTTAGATATGCCTGATATCAGGTTGGCAGTGTTGACAGTTCCAAGGACAAGAAAGGCAAGTCATTATTATTTCTACTGTCCGATCAACAATCAAACACAATGACTTTGACAGAAGACACGTTTAGGATTTCTGAGCAATCCAAGAAGGTTTAATGTGGCTGTTACCCGTGCAATATCTTTGCTTGTGTGATCGGGAATCCACACATTGTTAGCAAGGTATTCCTTTTCGCTTACATGTAATCTTCTATGTTTAGGAAATGGAAAACTCTCCTGATGATATATTATTCTCTCCAAAGACTGCATCTAAATTAGATAATTTTCTATTTGCATGTACGTGCACAACTATATGATCATTCCTTAGTTAAGTGTTGTCAAAGGGTTGCATATGGGCCTGAAAAGATTTGTCTACATTCTAATTATAGGTTGACCATGGCTAAATGCACGGCCGTTTTGTTTGAAGAACATGTTTTGAAGTTTGTAGCCCAAACTTAGCACTACTTCTACCTCAAAAACAGAAGGCATTTACTAAGAGTAGAGGATAATGATTTAATGTTCACTATGGTCCAATATGTTTCTATACATAAACACAAAATTAATATTAAATTTTATGTTGTATTAATAAAAATAAATAAATAAAAGAAAATTAAGAAATTCCATTTATGTACTTATCATATTTAATTTATGAATTAGGAAATGAATATCGGTTTTCTTAATAAGATACTTTTTTGTAATATTTATTTACATTTTAATTTGTTTTCTTTTCGTTTTATTTATATTTTAGGAAGAATGTTTTTATGTTTTATTTATTTACTCTAACTCTACTTCATATATTTTGATGTTTGTCTTATTTACTTTGTCAAACTAAGCGTTATCCTATTTTCTATCCCACATCAAACCAAAAAAGAAAAAAAGAAAAAAATTTGATTTTTTATTTAAGTTAAAAGTTCTTGTTAAAATTTAAATTTGAAGTTTAATTGTAATGTAATAAAAAAGAAAATATAAATTCAGTATTGGTTAGTGAACAAACTGTGAAACTTACGTTCACCAACGTTACTTATCTAACGTTGATAATTGATTTTCATTAAATACAAGTCAGTTTTAAAGA